CAACATCAGGCTTATTGAATGCATGTTTTGAGAACCTTTAGTTTTTAAAAAAATGTGTTGACTATGAAATTAATTTCTTGCAACAAATTTGCCACTTAAAAGTGTCATTGGTGAGCTGTGACGTAAGCCGCTTACTACGTATACAAAATGTGTGTGAGAAGCGGTAAGGGCTGAAAACAATCATACATTTTTCATCGCGATGGAGAACGCATGTTTTGAGAGCCATTGGTGCAAAAATGTGTTCACTATAATAATAATTTCTTGTAACAAGTTTTGCAAGTAAAAATTGTCTTTGATGAGCTGTGGCGTAGGCCACATGCGTAATCAAATTGTGTGTGAGAAGTGGGAAGTGCTGTGAACGATACCATTTTATGCGTGACAGGGATTTCAAGTATGTTTATATTTATGAACAAAAGTTTTTTAATCTAGCCCCAGTTGTTCTATAAAAATATGATTTTATTTAAGACAAACTGATACAAACTGCTATGCAAAGTATGGGTGACATTGATTCACCCGTTAAAGAGATATTTGAGGATAAGTTGCGCCGCGATATTTTGGACTACATGGTAAGAAAATTGGCGTGTGCAGTTGCTTTCTCTGAAAAAAGGAAAAGATATTGTGACTTTGTATAGCTCTCTTGAACGAACATTTTATCTAGTCTGTAGAAACCTAAATAGAAACGCCCCAGCAAAGAAGCGGTTGATTATACCACAGTAACAGATTAGTCAGTCATTTGTTTTTCTATATCTGAGCAATTGTTGATTTGTTATTCAGTCTTCAGTGTTGTCTATATCTCCTGTTTGTCATGGGTTTTGCGCTCCTGTCAACACTGGTTATTGAAAAGGTAGGGCTTCTGAATTTCACGTCCATCTCCGATAGGACCTAGCCAAATGGATTGAGAGCCTTGACAACTCCACAAAACGACCCGAATTCAAGAACACTCAGTCTCGGATTCGAACCAGGACTATCCACTTCGTTGTTTAATGTTTTAGTAGAGGTTTCACGGCGCTCGCAACCGGGTACGGTCAAATGAGCGCCAAGTGGTGGATGTCAACAGAAAAGTTCTTTCAGAGAATCAGGCTTAGGGTACGAACACGGTGACACGGACAGACAGGGACAGCTACTTGCTGTCGTACAGGGACGGACAGGCACAGGGAAATGTGGTCACATTCAAACAGGCAGCAAGAGACAGCAACATTGCCAATCATGGCGCTGACAAAGAAGAAGAAACTCTTATTATTATTATTGTGGTTACGAAGGAAATTAAGACGTTCACGAATTTCTCATCGAAGATATGCGGTTCATCCTATTAATAAAAAACGCTTTTTGTTACGTTAATATCACCAGCTCCTCCCACAGCTTGTGAATGATGAGGAAAAATTCATTGAATATTTTCGAATGCAGCCTTCAACATTCAGAAATCTTCCAATGGTCTCCCACTGCTTCAATATATATTCACGATTAGCGTGATGTTTTTCGCTCTTGTCATAATTTGCTGGCCTTTCTTGCACCGCAATGATCAGTCTCTCTTCAAAATCCTCCATCTTGACAAGAACAATCACTGTGATCGTATCTTTATTTAACTCCCTTGAAACAGACAGACAGGAGAAGTAGTGCACGCACTTTTCGAATTTTCCTGACTGTCGCTGGCTGTTGCTGTCTGTGCCTGTCCGTGTTCAACATAGCCGGGTTGGTGTGTTTTAAAAGAAATCATGAGCGGTTTTGGCGTGCACGCTTTTTGATGTGTTGCTGTGACAGCAACTGACTGTCCCTGTCCGTGTCACCGTGTCCCTAGCCTTACTCTGCTCACCTCTCTAGCTTCAACAGCACAAAGTCTGCTTCGACTATCAAGGCACCCTGGAAATAGCGGGTCACAAAAGTGGGACAAACATACAAAAGAAGTAGAGGAAAATGACGATAGTAAGGATTAGGAAAGAAAAAGCAGCAGTTCCCTGTTGCAGTTCAGGCACAGTTGTCAGCATGACATTGATGAATCAGCCCATTTACAATTATAATTCTTCTGTGCATAAGAACATGATTAAGGCCCATGCCCCCTTTCGGATGGCCTAAAGACAACTTCGTCAGTAGCACTACCCTGGCGGGGTACATAGTGGAATCAGCCCATTTCCAATGCTACTGTGCATAAGAACATGATTAATGCCCCCCCCCCCCTTTGGAAATGGCCTAAAGACACTTCACTCAGTAGCACCGCAACCGGGGGTGTGACTATCCACTTCGTAGTCCAGCATGATACCAACTGAGCTAATGAAGTGCCGTGACATTCTCTGTCAATCTGCATTCTTTCATGACTCCCACACGTAGGAACTTGCCTGTTGTGACGTCATCCGGCAACAAACTTTCAGAGACTAGGCCTACTTATTTGACCAGTGAATTCCGATGTATAGATTTCGATTTTAATTTGATGTTCTTTAAAATTGTTTGTTTCTTTGGTTGTTTTTTTTCTGTTTGTTTGTTGGTTGGTTAGTTTGCTTGTTTGTTTGTTTGAGGATCCTAACTTGGTGTGGCTATATGTGTCAGGACTTAGTGGTATCAGGCGATCATCAATTTTTGGGCATATGGAGTTATTGGTATAATCTTAAAGCTTGTTATTTTGGGTTTTTTGGGGTGAAAAAAATACCCATATATCTTGAATAGAAGTCGAGATAATATGTGCGATTGAGGAAGGCGTGGTAACTTGTTTTCTGTGGTAGAATTTGTAAGAAAATAACCACCAAAATTTGGTTACGTCTATAACTTGAGAGTCCTTGAAAACTGAAAATTTACTTATTTTGTGCCATTAATCAATGTTTTTCAGTAAAATTCACATGGAAATGTATTTTTACATGGACATAATGTGTGCTGAGCCAAAAAAAAAAAAATTTGACAAAAATTGCAAAACTGGAGGGAAAATGCCTTTTTCTTCAATTTCATTACTTTGACGAGTGCCTGATTTCACCATGATGCCTTACATATTATCTCATGAGATGTCTCCTCCAGTCTTGTTCTCTTCTGTCAGCTTCTTTTCTCTATTGTGTTTATTCTCTTGTCCTTAGTTGTTTTTTTCTTTCTTCTTTTTTTCTCTTTCTTTTATTTCGTATTTTTTCTTTCCTTTTTCTTTCTTTCTGTTTTCTCTTTTCTTTCTCTTTGTTCTTTCTTTCTTCCTTCCTTCCTTTCTTTCTTTCTTTCGTTTTTCTTTCTTCTTTTCTCTCTCTCTCTCTCTCTCTCTTTCTCTCTCTCCCTCTCT